TTGGTCGGAGGAATTTAGCCTACATGATGAAGTACGAAAAACTATTCCACTGTGGGTTAAGCTGCCTAATCTACCTGTAAATTGGTGGAGTATGAATGCATTAAGAAAAATAGGAAGTACCTTGGGAAATCCTATTTATGCTGATGAATGTACGACAGGAGCAGTAAGGATCTCATATGCAAAGGTTACTAGTGGAAATGGATGTTACTAAACCTCTGCCTAAACAAGTGAAACTTCAAGATCCAAAAGGAAAGGAAATGATGCAGGAGGTGGAGTATGACTGGGAACCTAAGTACTGCAGTAAATGCTTGAAAATAGGGCATAAATGTATTGAAAGTAAGAAGCCAATACAGCAGCAAAGGAATTTACAGCAGAAGAAGATAACTAAGGGAAGGATGGTATGGGTTAGAGCAGAGAAAGAAGAAGAAAATGAGGAGAAGGAAAAAGATCAGATAAAAGTAAGCTCAGAACAACAAAGGACTGAGCCAGAACAAAGGAGAGAAGGAACACAAAGTAGAGAAGCAGGATGGGTCACAGTAGCAGGGAAATCAGCTGCAAGGCCAAGCATAGCAAAGCAACAGGCAGTTCAAAGCATAGATGAAAACAACACATTTCAGAACTTGATGTATGAGCAAAGAAGTGATGTTGCAGGGCCTAGTCAGACAAATAGTCAAGGAGATCAGGGGTATTCTCACTATCCTTATTTCATTCCAGTATGAGTGTTGTTACTTGGAATGTAAGAGGGATAAATAAAACTTATAAGCAGAAAGAAGTAAAGGAGTTTGTTAGAATAAATAATAAGTCTGTAATAGCTATAGTAGAGCATAGAGTAAAAGATATAAAAGCAGAAGATATAATTAGAAAGATAGCTCCAAGATGGGAGTTAGTTTCTAATGCCAGAACAGGAAAAAAAGGAAGGATTTGGGTAATGTGGGATCCTAGAATTTACATTTTTGATCCTAAGGAAATTGATGATCAACTTATTCATGGGCAAATTAGTATGAAGTCAAAGACAGTGAAATTCAGTTTCAGAGCTGTTTATGGGCTGCATACTATTAAAGACAGGGAACCTCTATGGGCTAAGCTAAGGCAGATCAATAGCATGCAACAAGGGCCCTGGCTGGCAATGGGTGACTTTAATGCAATCCTCCATGTAAATGATAGGCAGCATGGAACAGAAGTACAGGACATGGAAGTGAAAGATTTTAAGGAATACATGATGGATACTGGGATGAGTGAGTTGCAATATATGGGAAGGGACTACACATGGACAAATAACCATGTATATAGCAGGATAGATAGGGGACTGGTAAATATAGATTGGATGATGAATATGCTTGCCTTGAAGATTCAGGTATTAGAACCATTAATATCTGATCATTCTCCTTTGAAGTTGATGATTACACAGGTGAACAGGAAGAAAAGCAGTCCAATCCGATTCTTTAATTGTATTGCTGAACATCCACAATTTCTGCAACAAGTGGAGAAGGCCTGGAAAGAGGGAAGTGAAACTGGTAAAATACAGCAAGTATGACAAAAGCTAAAGAAAACCAAAGAGCTTGTTAAGGAGCTAAATACACAGCACTACAAAGGCTTGGAGGGGAAGATTAAAGAAGCAAGGAATGAATTGCAGACTGTGCAGGAAGATATGAGTAACAGGAAGCAAGACAATGAACTAATTGATAAGGAAAAACAACTGAAGCAGGAGTTAGAAAAATGGGTGAAAATTGAGGAAAGTGTATACAAGCAGAAATCAAGGGTGCAATGGCTAAAACTGGGAGACTCTAATTCAAGATACTTCTTTGCACAAATGAAGCAAAGGAACAGTACAAATGGAATTCAAATGCTAGTTGATGATACAGGGAGACAGTTGGTGCTTGATGATGAAATAGAGGCAGAAGTCCTAGGGTACTATAGGACACTTCTGGGATCAAAAGATGAAGCCATTCCTGCTATTGATCCTAATGTCATCAAAATGGGGTATACCCTGAATAGAGAACAACAGCTGCAACTGATCAACAAAGTTACTAAGGAAGAAATAGGAGAGGCACTGAAGGAGATCAATGATTTGAAAGCCCCAGGATATGATGGTTTTAATGCAGTCTTCTTCAAAAAGGCATGGAGGAGTATAGGTGATGAAGTCACAATGGCAGTGGAGGAGTTCTTTGAAACAGCACAGATGTATAAGCCAGTGAACTGCATAGCCATAACTCTGATTCCTAAAGTCAAAAACCCAACAAGCATAAAAGAGTTTAGACCTATATCATGTTGCACTGTGATCTACAAAGTGATCTCCAAAGTACTAACAAAAAGGCTTCAATATGTGATGGATGTCTTGGTTGATAAATCCCAAGCAGCTTTTGTCCCAGGAAGAGCTATAACTGATAACATCATATTGAGCCATGAGTTGGTCAAAGGGTATGGGAGGAAAGGAGTATCACCTAGGTGTATGATGAAGCTTGACATGCAGAAAGCATATGACTCAATAGAGTGGGATTTTATGGAGCAAATGTTGCAAGCTTTAGCATTTCCTGCTCATTTTGTTAGGTGGATAATGAGGTGCATTGGGACAGTCACTTACACAATTCTAATCAATGGAGCTCAAACTAGGCCATTTGAAGCACAAAGAGGTTTAAGGCAAGGGGACCCCTTATCCACCTACTTATTTGTACTTGCAATGGAGTACTTAACAAGAAGGCTGAAAATGCTCAACAAGGACCCAAATTTCAACTACCACCCCAAGTGTGCAAAGATGCAAATCTTGCAACTTGGATTTGCTGATGATTTACTATTGTTTTGCAGGGGAGATTTAATGTTAGTCCAGCTCATATTCAGTGGTTTCCAAGAATTCTCAAAAGCTTCAGGTTTGAAGATCAACAAGAACAAAAGCTCTTTGTTCTGTGGAGGCATTACACAAGGGGTCCAAGATGAGATAATTAATTACTTGGGAATACAGAAGGGGGAGCTACCAGTGAGATACCTTGGAGTGCCATTAAGCACAAAAAGAATTTCCATTGCACAATGCCAACCACTGATAGAGAAGATTGCAGGAAGAATAACATCATGGACAACTAGGTTCCTATCCTATGCTGGCAGAATACAACTCATAAAAAGTGTGCTTTTTGCTGTTCAGACATATTGGGCACAGATCTTTGTGATGCCCAAAAGGATTACAAAACTTATTAAATCCATCTGCAGAAGCTTTCTTTGGACAGGTGAGAGCAATTTGTCAAAAAAGGCCCTATTAGCATGGGAAAAAATTTGCATGCCTAAGACTGCTGGAGGTTTCAACATCATGCAGATTGCACTATGGAACAAGGCAGCTGTGTGCAAGCATTACTGGGATTTATGTAGGGAGAAAAATAAGCTATGGATTCAATGGATACATAGCTACTATATCAAGGGCAAAGAAGTATGGGGAATACAAGTAAAACAAGCATCATGGATTATGGGAAAGATTTTGAAGGCAAAGGAGACACTTGAAAAAACTGGCTTTAGCTATGATGAAGTGAAGAGAATGAAGAAATGCAACATCAAGGCAATTTACCACAGGCTGCGAGGGAATTTTGAAAAAAGTGAGCTGGAGAAAAGTAGTTTGCCAAAATGCAGGCTGTCCTAGATGGTCCTTCATGCCAACTCTGACGGCTCATGGCAAATTGTACACGAAGGATAGACTGCAGAAATGGGGTATGCAAGTAGAGGACAAATGTGTGCTATGCAAAACAGGAAGGGAGAGTATCCAGCACTTGTTTTTTGAATGTGGATACTCAAGCGAACTATGGAGCAAACTGTTAAGCTGGCAAGGGATAAGTAGGAGACCACAGGGCTGGGAACAAGAACTGCTATAGGCAATTCAGTTTACTAAAAGAAGGAATGGGAAAACATGAGATGATACTAGCAGCAACTGTGTATTATGTATGGCAAGAAAGAAATGCAAGAATATTCCAAGCAAGAGAAAGAGGATGGGAGATACTGTGTAAGCAGATTGTACAGGAAGCCCACTGTAGAAGCAACAAAAATGTAGAAAACTGGCTGAATAGTTTGAATTGGTACCCATGTAAGGGATAGTAGAAGTATAAAGGAGGGAGGGGATTAGAGAAGTGTAGAACGGATTGTATGGGTTTTTTCGAATTACTTGTAAATATTTTCCCTGGTAAATAGAAAATTTAATTACCAAAAAAAATAAAATTTAACTCACACTTTCATTTGACCCCTAATAACAAACGTTTATAGCTCCACATATGACAATGGTATGTTTGTAAGACCAAAAATTTCAAAAAATTTATAACTACATAAACGTTATGACATGTAATATATTTAAGATCACAAGTTTCAATAATCTTTCTTTTTTAAACTTTGTGTCTAGTCATATAGTTTCACAAAATTGAAACGGTGTGAGCACGAGCCATGAGCTAGTACCTTCTTCTAGTTTGCTGCAGCCACCTACCCACAGATCATGCACATATTAAAGAATTGCACACAATACTCTCTACTCACTCTCATGTAATCATTGATGTACTCATCCACTAGCAATAAAGGAGAAGAATAACAAGATTTACTTTTACAGTAAGGATGAATCCAAGGAGCAAACACAACTTAAAACTTTTCATTGCTCTTCAACTCTTCTCTAAATCTCACTCAACAGGTGCTGAGTTGGACTTCCATTCTAACTAAGTATTCTTGTGATATATCAAGTTATGAACTGGGATACCGGGGAATTCATTAAGAGATACATTTAAATAAATCAAGATATTCGAGTGTAAATCTTGCAAGCAAAACGGAAGACAACATTATTTCAAGTCATTACTATGTGGGCAGAGTCTTTCTCTTCACCTTTTCTTGAGCCGAGGGTCTACAGTAAACAGCCTCTCTACCTTACCAGATAGGGGTAAGGTCTGCGTATGCACTACTGACTACCCTCCCCAACCCTCCCAAGACCCCACTTTTGGGATTAGACTGGGTCAGTTGTTGTTGTACTGTGTGGGCAGAACATGCAGAAGTAAAAGGATACAACATTTCTGAGATTGTTTATTAGGATTTTTCATTGATCTAAACAGTCTGCTAATATGAAGAAACAAAATTTACATGTACAATAATGAAAAGTTTCTCATCATCCAAAAGAATACAAAGGAGAAATACTACGATAAAAATGCTTTTTTACCTCTCTATGCTGTTGAGAAGCTTCTTGATTTACGTATAGGACAAATAATCTGTAAGTTTTGCAGCTCCTTGAAGTATACCAATTGTAGAATATCACATCATTCATTAGACTTTACAAGCTTTCTTTTCCTTTCTTGTTAGAATCCTTCTTTGATGGCTTTGTCTTTCTTCTTGGAGCACCAGTGGCAGGTTCCACCAATGGGCCAGACCACGTTTGGATCGGTTCTTTTGAATACGAGAAATTCATGGATGTGAATGGGACTTCTGAGGGTTCATAGGCTGGATCAATGTGATGTGAAGAACCCAAGGTATAACCTAATGTTCCATCCTGGTGTGGGGGAGGAAACTTTTCACTCTTGCTCTTTGCGTTTGCTTGTGTTACTAGACGCCGCCTCTGTTTAAGCAAGTTAAGCAAAAGTCAGTAACAACTTTGCCAGAATGTACTAAAGAAATAAATCGGAGGATTGAACGTAAAAGGAATTATATAGCCCTTCCAAGTTTCAAATTTATATGACAATTTCTATTTTCCAAAGGTAAAAATGTTGACCCCATTCCACCAGTAATACTATTTATTACAACTCCTAAAGTTTCGAGAATTTAATCTCATCAAAGAATCAAGTTTAAACTTCGATGTGTGTTTTCTCTATCAAACTAAGTCAAATTAACATTTCAAAAATTGTGCACCGTCAAATGTTATCACATAAAATAAAACCGAGGGAGTAGTATTTCCAGATGCTGTAACATGAAAACAAGCACTGGTTTGCTAATTAAATTGGAATCAGAGGAATATTGTGTATAAAATGTGAAACTACTAGGAAATGCAATTGCTGAATTTGACAATCATGTCAATAGCAGACGGCCCCCTCTTCCAACTGCTAATCATTGACAGGCAATATACTGACCAATTTGGGCGTGTAATTAGCCCAATGCAAAAAAGGCGACGTATGTTGGAGAAGTGTACACTTCTGAATCTCAATAGCTTTTTCTACTTTCCTAATTATAAGATTATAAGATGGCAACACAGAGAAACTATTCAATCCTAGGTAAGAAATTAACTGAACGCTGAAGTTTGACTTTGTGCAGATATGTTATTCTATGTTGCCCGGAATCTCCAAAATGTTGTTGCACCCATGTCGGATCCTCCAAAAATACACTACTTTTACAGGATCCGACACACATCCGGCAACATTTTTGGAGAGTCCGAGCAACATAGATTTTATTCTCTTTATTTTGTAAGTTTTGCGTTGGAACTACTCCGACAGATTCAGATTATGCAAAAATGCATATGCAATTTTATAACACTTGGATGGTAAAATATTTGAAACATGACATGACACAGAGGTAAACTATTTAACCCCGGGACAGAAATTAACTGAATCTGAAAATTTGACCATCTTTATATTTTGTTATCTTTGTTTTGTTGAAGGGGAGCCTTGGCGTAACTGGTAAAATTGCTGCCATGTGACCAGGAGGTCACGGGTTCGAGCCGTGGGAACAACCTCTTCAGAAATGCAGGGTAAGGCTGCATACAATAGACCCTTGTGGTCCTCTGCCTTTCCCCGGACCCCGCGCATAGTGCACCAGGCTGCCCTTTTTTTGAATCTTTGTTTTGTTAGTTTCAAGTTGGAACAGCTCTGACGGGTTCACATTGTGCAAAAAATGCATATGCAATCTTACAAGACTTAGATGGTAAAGTATTAGAACATAAAGGTACTGCTGAAATGAGCTTCTTAAATGACATACATCAATATTGACTTGCAGCTCCGCGTTGGCTTCAGGAGCAGGGATTCCCCTCACTGCTCGATCACGGTGACGATTTCTCCTTACACCATCAGCATTGGCTTTCCCAGCAGCTCTTTGTCTATTATATAGCAAATAGTTCAGGTAAAAATTTAGGAGGAAAATGACAAAGTGCTTCTGCAGATAAACGTGAAGCAGATAGAAGAGAATGAAGTTCCCCTACTTAATATCACACTAGTAGGCGCCATCACGACTCCCGAAGGTGAAAAATCCGGGTCGTGACACAATGTTTTTTCTTACTGAAACAAATTTATGTACTCTAAAAAAAATTTCAAGTTTAATTTTGTTACTTATATGATAAATTTGAAAATTAAATTATATTCTTTTGCTAATTAGTTAATTCAAAAATTTAATTATTTGTATTAACATTAAAAAAAAAATTCTTTTGTCGATTCAAACTACTAATATTAGTTCATCCTAATTTTTAAATATTTAACTGTATTTATAATTTTATCCACTATTTTTTTATTTTTATAGGATAAAAAGTTAATTTTATATTTCAGTTCTAAATATGTGTGTTTGCAGAATCATTACAGTTTGAATCTGAAAATATATGCTTCTCGTCATCTTTAATTGATTGTCATAATTTTATCCCTTTTTTCGGTTTTGGACTCGATTTTATTCTCATAAAAGTAACCCACATTTGATTTCTGCTTAGAGGAAAATAACCTTAAGTATTCCTAAATGTAACTGGAGTTAATACTTGAAAGAACGAAATTAACTTTCCTAGTTTTAATTGAAATCCTCGAAATTCTAGAATAAAAAAGAATAAAAAAGTCAAAATCTTAGTTTAGGAGAATTATTAAATGATTATTCCTAAATAGTAGAAAATTAATTACATGACTTTTCCAAAATAATAGGATACAATTAAATGACTATTCCTAAAGAGATAATCAAATGTCTATTTTGTCCAATGTGAACTCTAGTTTAGAAGGGTAAAAAAGGCGAACGATATTTCGTTAGGGACCTTCGTGCTTTTAATATAGTATATAAATATGGTAATTGAGAAGACAGATTCATGTTTTTGTAACTGGTTCCTTTAGCAGGTCCCAACTATAAAAGGGAATTTATATATGAAACAAAATAATTTTGAACAAATACTGATGAAATATAAAAATGTATACACAGCAAATAGCTATCTCGACAAGAATGGTTTCTTCTATGTACAAAATAATTGATTTAAATATGCAAACAAGAATATAAGTGTAGATAAAAAATAAATAAAAAAAGGATCCAGATAACTAGACCTTCGAGATTCTTCGTCTCGCCGTTTAGCATCCATTTCTTTGCTGGGTGGATATTTGGGAAGGCTGGAATGTTCACAGGCGTAAGGTTTGGTAGTAAAGAACTGCACAAGAACAAATAGAACATATATTGACAGTCCTTCAAAATATTCTATGAAATAAAATTTTAGAAAAGTGTAAAACTCTGGCGTCAAATGCTCCACATGCGTCCTTGTGTAACTAAGACAGGTCAATCAATTCGAATACATGTGAATATCTATTAAGTAAAAAAAGTAAAACCTTTTTTCTCAATCTTCTTCCTGCATATACTTCGGAAATCCATTTAGCTCTCTAGCAGTTGACGAGGAATTGATGCTAAGAAAGGAAATTGATTTGTAAAGGATCAGCCAAACCAAGTTTTTTAACTTTCTTACTAGTGACGTAACTACGAAGCAAGTCATTTCTTTACTGCCATGTGATGCAATATTTGAAACCAAAAAATTGGATCCCCCCCCCCCCCCTAATTTCTTAAAAAGGAAAATAGCATCAATTCTGGTCTTTGTCAAGGTTAATGAAGAGCTAAAAGGAAGAAAGTGGTAAGCGCTAATAATTGGTAATAAATGCAGAAGAAAGAAGTCTATCAGTGCAGATGAAGAGATTGAGGAACAAATGCACATGAAAGCAAAAGCGGGAGACTTTAAAACAAACAGAGACTTCATCACTTAAACAGTTAATCAATCAGTTGCCTCAAGTACAATCATGAAGAAATAAAATGGATATGAATAGCTTACTGCACTCTGTAATGCAGCTGTAGCTGTCTGACGCTCAGCAGGATCAATGGCCAAAAGAGTCTCAATCAATGGCAACGATGAAGGCGGAAAATCTTTAAAAGTTTCTGCTATACATCTTCTGTATGATTGCTGAGGCTTGAATATAGTTGCATGTGGAAGCCTTGACTTTTTCCAATATTCTTCTGACGGAGATCCGCATAGCTTGAAGATCTTGTGGAGCTGTTCAACCTGAATATTATGGAAGTGTAAATTAATCAAATGATGAAGCTCGCCGCTAAAATCCAGTCCATGGAAATTTACTCAAAAGTTACGTAATACTGACTGTAAAGAAATCATAAGTGGCAGGGCTACTTTTCAGTTCATGGTCCTCTCACCACTCTCAGTCCAGTGGGAAGGAGGATTTGCACATTGAGAAAAAAACAAAGACATTTAAGCTAAAGCTGGAGGAATGCTCAGATTTTTTTCCCAGGCTTTTAGAACTTCGGTTTGTGCTCCTGCCACTCCTTCCGATAAAAAGTCACATACACGTTTAAGCCCAAGACGCCATTCTGTATCCCTGATTAAGCTGTATGCAACCATGTCTCAATCTGACTCGAAGCTAAGCACATTGTCATACTTTCATGTAAGCTGTCTGCTCTGATTGCTTAGGTGTGACGCTTAACATTGTGTGATAGGGGAGAACCTACTAAAAACAGCAATATATAACTAATCTGAAACCAAAATCTTTCATATCTCCACATCGCTTTCCTATCATGCTAAAGAAAGTTATTTAGCAGTTCACTAATCTTGATTAAATATTAAAAAAGCTACTTCTTCCACAAATAAAGATTTCCTTTTGTATTGATGAGAATTTCAAGTGGAGAGAATTTTGTTATAGGCAAATGTACCTTAGTTGAAGGGAAAAAGCTTCTCTTCAACTAAGAGAAACACAAGCAAGCAAATAAATTGATGCAAACAACAAGCACGGCGATAAAACCGTTCCTTTTTCTGGTATCACCCAAGACCCGTCACACTATCAGATTGTTTTGACCAACAGACTGTACCTCTGTACGACCAGGCATAATGGGTTTCCCAGCTAATAGCTCAGCTAAAATACAACCAGCACTCCAAAGATCAACACCAACACCATAGTCGGTGGCTCCAAGTAGAAGCTCTGGTGGTCTGTACCATAGAGTAACCACACGACTAGTCATGGGCTGCTTTTTATTGGGATCGAAGAAAGATGCCAACCCAAAATCAGCAATCTTGAGTGCTCCCCCACTGTCAATAAGAAGATTTGATCCTTTTATATCGCGATGCAACACAAGACGGTTATGACAGTGTTCAAGCCCTGCTAATAGTTGATGCATGTAACATTTAACCTACAAATATAGACCAACAAACAATGTAAACAATTTGGAAGCCAAACACTTGTAGCTAAAAACTCAACAAGCAAATAATACAAGTATATAACCCCAACCTGAGCCTCGGTGAACTTGATTCCAGGGCTTGCAGCAAGTCCAGCTAAATCATGATCCATATAATCAAACACGAGGTACAAACTACAAGACATCCTTGACGTAACCAATCCTTGCAACGTAATAACATTTGGATGATCCAAGCGGCGCAAAATCAAGATCTCTCTTGCCATAAATTTCACACTCTCTGGCTCCAAATTATCAAATCTAACCTTCTTCAGTGCAACGATGTTCCCCGTTAGATTATCTCTAGCTTTATAGACATTGCTATAAGTACCTTGCCCAATCTAAATAGCACAATAAATACAACACAGAAATGACAATGAATGAGATATTAATCAATCTACAAAACAAAAACAAGTAATTCAACCAATGAGGTTAACGATTGCTTGCCTTAGCTAGCTTCTCAAATGCATCCGCCCTCCGCGGAATCCAACCATTGATAGCCTCTCCAGCTACATCAGAAAGCCATGACGGCCATCCAGCCGCCACTTGCTCGCCGTGCACATTCTTAGGTGGGTTGCTTAGCCTCGGATTAGGCTTAGACCTTCTCCTCTCACCCCTATGCCTTGCATTATCACCCTTCTTCTCATCCTTCTGATCCCTACCATTCACAACTTCACCAACATCATTACCTCCTCCTCCGCCGCCTACGGCATCCACTTTATTTACAGTACCAACTTTCTCTCTCCTCCCAGATGGGACAGCCAAATCTCTATCTACCCCATTTTCTCTCCTACTTCCAACTACAACCTCCCCATTAGGTGTCTCAGAAGATGAAATCTCTTTCCCAAATACACAACCCATTTTCCTACAATCTTAACCCTCATATCTCATCACACTGGACACCCTTTTTCCTCATTCAAATTCTCACAAACCCCACTACACAAATAACCCACATGCAATAAGCTCAAAAAACATAAACTTCACAAGCAAAACAATCAAATGGAGCAAGATTGAGCTTAAAGATTTGAACTTTGGAGCCAAACAATCAAATGGAACAAGATTGAGCTTAAAGATTTGAACTTTTGAGCAATTCAAGAAAGCAAAAATATAAATCAATCAAGGTATATCAGAAGTAATAGCTTTTCAAGAATGCAAGTCAAAAAAGGAAAAATCTTGAACAAGAGCAAATAAAAATAAGATTAAGGGAAAAGGAGTTGTTAGATAAATGTGTAAAAAGTGGGATACGCTAATTGAAGAACCCTAGCTTTAGTGCCCAAGAAAGGAGAAGCAGTAATGATTTGGAGTTAAGCCCACCATTTATGGCGGTCAAAAATGGAGTTTGTATGTAGCTATAGAGAAAAGGCAAATATGCTCAGTAAACTAATGCTAGTAGCTTTATTTCACTTCTTTTGTGGGATTGAAGATCCAACATTTATTAAAGTTTCAAACTATTATAGTCCCACACTTGCACCCTAAGAAAATATGCAATAAATATTTCTTTCTTTTTTTAAATTCAAGCAGAGATATTTGGTCAGAAGGATACATGAATTGATATTTTTTATGCTCTGTCCGGTTGTCATTTCCATTTTTAATACAACTAATACTATTATAAGCTATACATTAATTTCAGTATTAAACTTTATATTAGATATGTAATATTATAATTTACTGCAGTGTTTGGTATATAACGATATTACTCCTATTAAATACTTACCACCAAAAGTTAAAATAGATATTACCCCTTCGATCTTAACTATAAGTCTTATGTTCGAGACTGAGTATAGTTCTAATATCAGTTGGGATCATATACTCCACTGATTCAGATTGTGAGTGTTTGTCCATCTGAATTAGTCAGGGCCAAAGCGGGTGTTATATATTGGATACTGCATGAAAAATCAAAATAATATTATTAATCACTGTTAATAGTTTTAATATTAGAATTTATAATTCCCTTACTGAGGAAGATAACTAGAAGCAAAGGTAAAGAAGAGATGAGCTCAGCTACTGAACTTTTTTCTGGTCTTCGGTGGCTGCAGCAGGTCAAAAAAGCACTTCTCCTTTTCTTTTTCACCTAAGACCTATCTCCGATCCAACACCATTTTTTACGTCAAACATTATTTGGCGTAAGATTTAGCTAGGGATTGGCCATAGATTTCTAAATTTATTTTGAAAAATCTGATTTAGGTGAAGTTTAGTTTTAAGATAAAAATGTGTTTGGACATACGTTTTCAAAATAAATTTCCCAAATTTATTTTGGAAAAACATGTATATTATTAGTGTTTGTAAAGATTTTGGCTCAAACCCAACTATTGAGCTGGTTTTGGAATTTGGGATTTGAGATTTGAAATTTTGCCAAAATAGAGGTAAAATCTATGGCCAAACATGTGTTTGTCAAATAAAACCCAAGTTTATTTTGACAAAATCTATGGTCAAACGGGTCCTTAGTGTATTGGTGCTCCAACCCAATACCATTTCTTACACCATTTTGATGTGTGAATAGTGTTTATCAACGCCATTACTATTCATTAATATTTTATTATTATCTTTTTTTATATAACTTTTAATTTAACATATTATAAACTTTATAATTACTTATAATTTTTATGTAATATCTTTATAATATTAATTTTATATTTTAATTTTGATGTATGATTTTTTTAAATTAATTTTCTTATATATCATTTTTATATAAAATTGTAAGTTAATTTTATTATAAGTTATAAATATATATAAAAAAAAACGTGCAAATCTAAAATATAATACATTGTTAATAAATAACACAACGTTCATTAAATAACATAAAAATAAATATTTATTTAATTATATCTTATCAATGATTTTATTTTTATTTGAATTATCCATTAATATGTATAATGTATAATATTTGCTTACAAATTATATTATTTAAAAATTTATGGTATAATTTTTTTTATATTAAATGGTTAAATAAAAAAGGAATATGAATTATATGTGATGAATATACAAAAAACGAAAAAAGAAAGGATTTGTTTTATGAAATAAAAAATATATTTAAATAAAAGAAAATAATATATTAAAAAAAAAGAGAGAAGAATTTAAAAGGAATATTCCTTTTTGGTGTGAAAAATAGTGTAATTGGTTGGAGTTAATTTGCACCATTTTGATGTTTGCACCATGTGAATTTTTTCCTTTTATTTGTTGTATAATGGAAAAATTTGAAATTGAAAGAAAGAATCTATTTTTTCAGAAAGCGTATCTTTGTCAGTTGACAGAGAGTTAAAACTTAAAAAGAATGCTTTGAACAATATAAAGGGAGTAAAATTCATAGAATCTGATTTTCTTTATTATTTTCCCCTTTAATCTAGAAATTTTAAATTTCTTTATTTGATTAGAACCTGTTAATCAATTTTACAAATATATTTATTCGGTTGGTCCGCGAGATACTATATGTATGATGAAATAATACGTGTTTGATCAAACATCATTCTCCAATTTATCTTAATTAACTATTTCTCTATTTTCTTATACTTTTTTACCTCTTGATTCTTTTTTTGCTTTATAATTATTTTTATAACCGTGTGCGTGAGAGCTACAGTCATTGGAGAAACCTCGAAACGAATTTTTTGGGTTAAAAATTGGAAGCTGGTATAAATTACTGTATACTTAATACTTTATTTATGAAACTTTTAGATAATAAAAAATATACAAGAATTATATTGGCCATATTATTATTTTGTTGAAAAAAAAGTTAGAGTTTTTTTTTTTTTTTTGGAATGATAGTAACAAATAGATGCTTATTAAACTACGCTAAGAAACCTAAAGACAACTAAGCATATTCGAACATAATCATTACAATTTTCTTCTTTTATAGGAGTACTTCAATAATAATTGATAAAATAGATTGTTTAGCATGATCTGTAGACTGTAATGGAAGTTCCTATGAATAGCTCCTTAATCGCTTTCAACGCCAGAAATGTAACTAAGCAAATAGCCATACCTAGAGTAGAGTTTAATTGTCCGTATTGATAATCATGTAAAAAATATTTATACAATTATATCACTTATAAAATAATTATAAATAAATCTATGTGATAAGTACTAATCGTTTAACGTGATAAAATGATAAGTAACATATTAGCACAATATTAAAAATTGTTGATAATATTAAAAAATTACACTATCAGTATATATAATTTAAATCTCATAGAATATACTTTTATAAAGTCCAATTACCTAAAGATATAATGTCGCTTATAAAAGGAAGACTAAAAATTATAAAGTTTGTATTTTGTGGATATTTTATGTTTTTCTATTATAAAAACTATGATTTATATTACTTTTAAGCAATTTTGACATGTACGAATTGTATGTGAAAAACTAAAAAGAATTATAGCCTGTTTGGCCAAGCTTATTTTTTGGCCTCAAGTGCTTTTTTTTTGCCAAAAATTGAGGTGTTTGGCCAAGCTTTTAGAAGAAAAAAAAAGTACTTTTGAAGAGAAGCAGAAACAGGTTTGGATAAGCAGAAAAATGTAGCTTCTCTCCAAAAGCACTTTTTTGAGAAGCACTTTTGAGAAAAATACACTTAAAAGTAGTTTTTAAAAGCTTGGCCAAACACTAATTACTGCTCAAAAGTGTTTTTTAAATTAATTAGCCAAACATAAACCAATTCTCACAAAAAATACTTTTTTGAAAAGTACTTTTAAAAATAAACAAATTTTAGAAAATTGGCCAAACAGTCTATTAATGTCCAAATGTCCAAATTAACACTGAATTCTCGTTCCCCTTTCTTCATTTTATGGAAATTTGCGAAATAAAACATCAAATGCCAGAAAAGTAAGAAGAAGAAAGAAAAAGGACATTTGAGAAACACGAAGATTATCGTAGAATTAATATTTCGTTCAGGAATGTGTGTACTATGAGAAATAGTCATTTAATAGCCTATTGTTTATTAAAACTGTGTGTTTGATTGCTTGACACTTGACAGCAATTGTTTTGAGATTTGCACCACCAAATTTTTAATTAAAAAAAGTAAATAGTGAATTCTAGAGATCTGATGTTTGGTGAATCTCGTAAAATACTGGTATTAATTCTGAAGTTTAAAATCCCAAAAGTTTAAATTTCGTCAAAATGGCTGTTAAAATAATTATAAATGCCTTACTAATTTGATCTTTAAGTATTTTGGGTCTATTATTCAGCAGATGGGGAGACTGATGAAAATGTCACACATCGTATTGGGGCGGGAAAGATGAAATGGAGACTCGCTTCCGGTGTTTTGTGTGACAAGAAGGTGCCACCGAAACTTAAAGGTAAGTTCTACAGAGTGGTGGTCAGGCCAACGATGTTGTATGGGGCTCAGTGTTGGCCAGTCAAGATCGCTCATGTCTAGAAGATGAAGGTAGCAGATATGAGGATGTTGAGATGGATGTGAAGGCACACTAGGTTAGACGGGATCAGAAATGAGGTTATTCGCGACAAGGTGGGTGTGGCCCATATTGAGGACAAGATGCGAGAAGCGCGGCTTAGGTGGTTTAGTCATGTGAGGAGGAGGAGCACAGACGCCCCGGTGAAGAGGTGTGAGAGGTTGACATTGGAGGGACTACAGAAAGGTAGAGGTAGGCCAAAAAAGAGGTGGAGAGAGGTGATTAGGCAAGACATGGCGCAGCTTCAGCTGACCGAGGACATGACCCTTGATAGGAAGGTATAGAGGTCGAGGATTAGGGTAGTAGAGTAGGTAGTCTAGAGTATTCATAACAATAGTATTGGCACGCAGTCTCGCTTTCTGTTGGTAATAGGTTTTATGAACCGTTGTTTTCTTTCATTGTTGATCACCTTACTATCTTGTTATTTTTATTCTACTTTTATATGGATTTTTAGTATTGTCTCTTCTTATCTATATTTTTTATTAATGTGGTGCTCATGCTTTCCTGGACCGAGGGTATTGGAAACAATTTCTCTATCCTCACAAGGTCTGCGTACACACTACCCTCCCCAAATCTCACAGTGTAGGATAATACTGGTATTTCGTTGTTGTTGTTGTTAATTTGATCTAATTTTCAGCTTAATGGGACAAAATAAGAAGAAATAAAACTCAATTCCACCAAAAAAAAAAAAAAAAAAAAAAAAAAAAGCTAAGAACAAAAGATGTACTTTAGCCCCTACCCATCACTTTTTATTAAGAAATTTTACTTTTATCTATTTAGGTTATCTATACTGATAGAGAGACTACCGCTCTAAGGTTGAGCTTAAACCTTTTGTATCAGGGTCAACAATAGAGTATACATAGGTCAGGTTGGTTCGGATTTTTTAATTACCAAACCAAACCAATTGTATCGGATTATTAAAATTAAATACCAAACCAAACCAATAAAAGTCGAATTTTTTAATCTCGGTTTTTTTCGTTTTTTTCGAATTTTTGGGTTTTTTCGGTTTTTTTTTTCATAAAGTCTTCATAGCATAAAACG